TACTCATGTAGTGATATCGATAGGCTTGACCTGTCCAACAAATCAGGAGGCAGAAAGAGGGCTTCTGAAAGGGAAAACAACGGTAGAAGAACATGCGCTAGCAGATTATGGAAAATGCAGTCAAGAACCAACATTGATGGAAGTCAATAGCAGAAAACTGCTTAAAGTGCAAAAGACAAAGAGTGAATACCATAAAAATACAATGTGGAGCAGAAGAGAAAACTGGCAAAAGAAGGCTCTCCATGGACAGTTCCTGGGAAAAACTGAGAGCAAAACTGACAAGGAAAAAACATGGATGCCACTCACAAATTGAACTTTGAAAAAGGAGGTGGAGGGCCTGAATCTTGCAGCCCAAAAAAATGCCATCCAAGCCAGAATTGAAATGTTGACGATAGATTCCAAGTGTAGGTTCTGCAAGGAAGCAGATGAAACCATGGATCACATCCTCAGCTGGAGCCCCTGGTGGCGCAGTGGGTAAAACCCCTGTGCCGGCAGGACTGAAGACCGACAGGTCGCAGGTTCGAATCCAGGGAGAGGCGGATGAGCTCCCTCTATCAGCTCCAGCTCCTCATGCGGGGACATGAGAGAAGCCTCCCACAAGGATGATAAAACATCAAAATCATCCGGGCGTCCCCTGGGCAATATCCTTGCAGACGGCCAATTCTCTCATACCAGAAGTGACTTGGTTTCTCAAGTCGCTCCTGACACGACAAAAAAAAAAATCCTCAGCTGCTGCAAGAAGAGCGCAAGACAGACTACAAGCAGAGGCATAATACCATTGCTCAGATGATGCATTGGAACTTGTGCCACAAATACCATCTGCCTGTGACAAAGAACTGATGGGATCACAAGCCTGAAAAAGTTACGGAATATGAACATGTCAAACTACTCTGGGACTTCTGAATTCAGACTGACAGAGTTTTGGAGCACAAGACTCCTGACCTCACTATCGTGGTAAAAAAGAAATATGGATTGTTGATGTTGCAATCCCAGGTGACAGCAGAATTGATGAGTAGCTTACACAATGGAAATGCTTACACAATAAAAAGATTTAAAGATCAAACTGCAAAGACTCTGTCACCAACCAATCAAGGTGGTCCCAGTGGTGATTGGCACACTGGGTGCAGTGCCTAAAGACCTTGGCCTACACTTAAAAACAATCGACGCTGACAAAATTCCCACCTGTCAGCTGTAAAAGTCCACCCTACTTAGATCTGCATGCATTATTCACCGATACATTACACAGTCCTCGACATTTGGGAAGTGTCCAACATGAGATCAAATACAAAAGCCAGCATAGTGATCTTGTTTGCTGTGTATTAATCTTGCTATGTAAATAATAATAATAATAATAATAATAATAATAATAATAATAATAATAATTTATTTCTAGACCACTCTCTCTCCCAAAGGAACTCAGGGCAGTTTCCAACACATATGGCAAACATTCAATGCCAGTAAAAAAGACATATTAACAAATTGCATCAAAGACGAAAAAAAAATAGAACATATCTAGAAGAAGTCAAGGCACGCATAATGGTCAAGGCTCTGGAAGTCAAGCCCTATGAGGAACGGCTCAGGGAGCGGGATATGTTTAGCTTGGTGAAAGGGCAACATGATAGCCACGTCTAAATATTTGAAAGGTTGTCACATTGAATTTTGAGCCAGCAGGTTTCCTGCTGCTCTAGAGACTGGGACATGGAGCAATGGATTCAAACTGAAAGAAAAGGAATTCCATGGAAAGTTAAGAGAAAATTTCCTGACTGTAAGAGCTGTTTGACAGTGAACTACATGGCTGCAGAGTGCAGTGAAGCCTCTTTCTTTGGAGGTTTGAAACAGAGGCTCAACGGCCCTCTGTCAGGTGTGATTTGTGTATTCTTGCATGACAGGTGGTTGGATTAGATGGCCTCATGGGGTCTCTTCCACTTCTGTGATTCTGTGATTTCTACCTCTGGAATCACAGTCACTATCAGAAATTGGTGACAGATATCTCATCTGTCCAAGGACCAGTCAACTACGTTTCTCACCCCTTTAATTCACAGAACAGAAGGTCCGAAAGCTGAATCCCTCTGATACCTTTATTTATTTTTAGAGATGGGATTCTCTCCATACCTTCTATGCCACTTTATCCTCACCCTTCCTAATGCCGCGGCTCCTTAAGACAGTTCTTCATGTTGTGGTGACCCCCAACCATAACATTAGTTTTGTTGCTACTTCATAACTGTAATTTTGCTACTGTTATCGTCATGTAAATATCTGATGTGCAGGATGGATTTTCATTCACTGGACCAAATTTGGCACAAGTACCCGATACGCCCAAATTTGAATACTGCTGGAGTTGCGAGGGGGATTGATTTTGTCATTTCGGAATTGTAGTGGCTGGGATTTATAGTTTATCTGCAATCGAAGAACATTCTGAATTTCACCAATGATGGAATTGAACCAACCTTGGCACAAAGATCTCCCGTGACTGACAGAAAATATTGGGAGGGTTTAGTGGGCATTGACCTTGAGTTTTGGAGTTGTAGTTCACCTATATCCAGACAGCACTATGGACTCAGACAATGATGGATCTGGACCAAACTTGCCCCGAATCCTCATTATGCTCAAATGTGAACAATGGCGGAGTTTGAGGAAAACAGACATTTGGGAGTTGTGGTTGCTGGGATTTATAGTTCACCAACAATCAGAGAGCATTCTGAACCCCACCAATGATAAATTGGGCCAAACTTCCCATGACCAACAAAAAATACTATGTTTTCCGATGGTCTTTGGCAACTCCTCTGACACCCCCTCAAGACCCTCCCGACCCCCAAGTTGAGAAACGCTGTTCTACAACCAAGAGAATATCACATACATATGGCAGATCTCAGGCTGGATCTACACTGATATATCAAATAAAGATTAACTGCTTTGAACTGAATTATATGAGTCTATACTGTCATATAATCTGGTTCAAAGCAGATAATCTGGATTTTTTATGCCAGTGTAGATGGGCCTTAGGCCCCTCAATACTATGGCAGTATGGGCTCCAATAACACAGATCATAGCAGATCTTGTGGATTATCTGCCCTAATATTCTGGTGGAGTCTTGCTTATCCAACATAAACAGGCTGGCAGAACGTTGGATAAGCGAAAATGTTGGGCAATGAGGAGGGATTAAGGAAAAGCCTATTAAACATCAAATTACATTATTTTACAAACTGAGCACCAAAACATCATGTTTTACAACAAATTGACAGAAAAAGCAGTTCAATCCGTGGTAACGTAATGTAGTAATTGCTGTATTTACGAATTTAGCACCCAAACATCGCAATGTATTGAAACAGCTGTGGATCCGGGCAGGAGGCAGACTACATAGGATAATATAAAAAGTTGGATGAGCAAAGGTTGGGTAAGTGAAACTCTAGTGTATATCACTATGTGGTAGGGCCCTGGGTTTCCTAAACTCAGATTTTCCCTTCCAGGTAAAAGAAGGAACAGGCCAAACCACTTTTGAGTATTCCTACACAACCCGTGGAATTTCCAAAGGCAGATTTTGAAGGTACAGACGCAAAACAAAAGATCGGATCTTGATCCATTTTGCTGCTATGGGGGCCCTTCCACACAGCCATATAACTCAGAATATCAAGGCAGAGAATCCACAATGCCTGCTTTGAACTGGGCTATCTGAGTCTGCATTGCCATATAATCCAGTTCAACGTGGATTGTATACAGCTGTGTGAAAGGGGCTTACAGCCTCCAGAGCTCCTTCCACATAGCTGTATCAAATCCACATTGAACTTGATTATATGGCAGTGTGGACTCAGATAACCCTGATCAAAGCAGATACTGGGGGATTTCCTGCCTTGATATTCTGGGTTATATGGCTGTGTGGAAGAGCCCTCAATTCACACTGCCATTTAGTCCAGTTCAAAGCAAATATTGTGGGATTTCCTGCCTTGATATTCTGGGTTATATGTCTGTGTGGAAGGACCCTCAGTCCACACTGCCATTTAATCCAGCTCAAAGCAGATATTGGGGAATTTCCTGCCTTGATATTCTGGGTTATATGGCTGTGTGGAAGGACCCTCAGTCCGCACTGCCATTTACTCCAGTCCAAAGCAAATATTGGGGGATTTCCTGCCTTGCTATTCTGGGTTATATGGCTGTGAGAAAGGGCACTCAGTCCACACTGCCATTTAGTCCTGTTCAAAGCAGATATTGGGGGATTTCCTGCCTTGATATTCTGGGTTATATAGAAGGGCCCCAGGAAAGGCGCAGTATTTAAAAAAAACTCTGAAATCATACCAGTAAATAAAGAACAACACTCAAAAACAGGGGAATTCCAAACAAGAAACAATCAGGGCCAGCTAATCACCTCCCAACAAAGGATTCACCCCTGGCAGTAAGAAGCCAGCCCTTGAAACTGCTAGGCCGTTAAATGCTAATCAAAGTGGCCAATTGAGTTGTTGTAAGTTTTTTCAGGCTATATGGCCGTGATCTAGAGGCATTTTCTCCTGACGTTTCGCCTGCATCTATGGCAAGCATCCTCAGAGGTAGTGAGGTCTGTTGGAACTAGAAAAAGGGGTTTATATATCTGTGGAATGACCAGGGTGAGACAAAGGACTCTTGTCTGGTGGAGCTAGGTGTGAATGTTTCAACTGTGGCCAGTTGCTACATTCACACCTACCTCAAACAGACAAGAGTTCTTTCTCCCACCCTGGACATTATTCCACAGGTATATAAACCCCATTTTCCTAGTTTCCAACAGACCTCTGAATCTCCGAGGGTGCCTGCTGTAGATGGAGGCGAAACGTCAGGAGAGAATGCTTTTGGAACATGGCCAGACAACTCAAAGGTGCCTTTGTTTGGAATCTCCAAGGAAGTTAGAAAACTTCGAATTCTGCCATGGGAATGAATCCCAGGCGCTGTGGGCTCTACTGCAGAGAAAGCAGCAGCCAAGCCTCCTCCAAGAGTGGCCATTCCCTGGACTGGGAAAATGCAAAGCGCTGGGCTACCTGTGCGTCCAGGTGAGGCTCCCTTTGCTCTGGGGAAAGGTGTTCCCGGTCCAAAGCGGCAGGAAGTCTGAGGCTCTTTGACTCTCTCTCGATCTGGAGGAAGAGAACTTGTCTCTTCCTCTTCCTCCTCCTCCTCCTCCTCCTCTTCTTCTTCTCAACACGCCCCAGGCAACTTGGGCAGGAGACCTGAGGCTGAGCCAAAGAGGAGGAGGAGACGCCTCCCGAACGCAGAGAGTGAGTAGCAAAGCCGGGACTGGAACCTCACCTCCGGATGGGCCTCTTTATTTCTCGTGTCAGAGCAGACAGTCCATTATATTACATTTCTAACAGAACAAAGCAAACAAACAGAAAAATACACAACTTGTGAGTTTGGTAGTTGGTTAAATGTCCTTTGACCAGTATCTGGCCACTTGGAGTGCCTCTGGTGTTGCCGCAAGAAGGTCCTCCATTGTGCATGTGGCAGGGCTCAGGTTGCATTGCAGCAGGTGGTCAGTGGTTTGCTCTTCTCCACACTCGCATGTCGAGGATTCTACTTTGTAGCCCCATTTCTGCAGGTTGGCTCTGCATCTCGTGGTGCCAGAGCGCAGTCTGTTCAGGCCTTCCAAGTCGCCCAGTCTTCTGTGTGCCCAGGGGGGAGTCTCTCATTTGGTATCAGCCATTGGTTGAAGGTTCTGGGTTTGAGCCTGCCACTTTTGGACTCTCGCTTGCTGAGGTGTTCCAGCCAGTGTCTCTGTAGATCTAAGAAAACTATTTCTTGATTTAAGTCGTTGACGTGCTGGCTGATACCCAAACAGGAGATGAGCTGGAGAAGTCTCTGCCTTGGTCCTTTCACTATTGGCTGCTACTTCCCGGCGGATGTCAGGTGGTGCAATACCGGCTAAGCAGTGTAATTTCTCCAGTGGTGTAGGGCGCAGACACCCCGTGATAATGCGGCGTGTCTCATTCAGAGCCACATCCACTGTTTTAGCGTGGTGAGATGTGTTCCACACTGGGCATGCATACTCAGCAGCAGTAGCACAGCGCAAGGGCAGATGTCTTCACTGTGTCTGGTTGTGATCCCCAGGTTGTGCCAGTCAGCTTTCGTATGATATTGTTTCTAGCACCCACTTTTTGCTTGATGTTCAGGCAGTGCTTCTTGTAGGTAAGAGCACGGTCCAGAGTGACTCCCAGGTATTTGGGTGCGCTGCAATGCTCCATTGGGATTCCTTCCCAGGTGATCTTCAGAGCTCAGGATGGGCCTCTGAAAAGGAAGGTGCAGCTCGGCCAGGAGGGTGCTGCGCCTTTAAGAATTAGGCAGGTCCGAGCACATTGCTATTTCAGTTTTATTGACTACTAGCTGTCCCCTGCCATGCGTTGCTGTGGCCCAGTCTGTTGATCTGGAAAATAAAGTGACGAGAACGTGTTGGTTTCTAATATATGTAATGTCTTGATGCTTGTGAGTAAACAGTATTTCTTGCTGTTTCTTTGTCAGTGTTGATGTGGAGAGAGTCTGGCTTGCCCACCCCGGAACATGCAAGATATATCATTGTCCTTGAGTTGTTGTAGGTTTTTTCGGGCTATACGGCCATGTTCTAGAGGCATTCTCTCCTGACGTTTCACCTGCATCTATGGAAAGCATCCTCAGAGGTAGTGAGGTCTGTTGGAACTAGGAAAGTGGGTTTATATATTATTATTTTTTTACTTTGCTTGTATACCGCAGTTTCTCAGCCCGTAGGCGACTCAACGCGGTTCACAACAAGATCAAAAAGTCAGTCCAACAGCATATAGTTTAAAAACCATTAACAGCATAGTATAAAAGTAATAACACATCAATAACAACACATTAACGTCTCGTAACTAGAATCGTAGTCCAATTCATCATCCCTGCACTCCGCTCCTGTTAGTATCATGGCTGCCGAGCGTTGGACTAGTTGGAGCTTCCGAGCCGTCTTCAAAGGCAACCCCACGTAGAGAGCGTTGCAGTAGTCTAAATGGGATGTAACCAGAGCGTGGACTACCGTGGTCAAGTCAGTGGAATATATCTGTGGAATGACCAGGGTGGGGCAAAGAACTCTTGTCTGTTGGAGCTAGGTGTGAATGTTTCAACTGACCACCTTGATTAGCATTTGATGGTCTGGCTGTGCCTGGGGCAATCTTTTGTTGAGAGGTGATTCTGGCCTGCATTAATAGGAGCATAGTGTCTAGATCCATGATGGCGAACCTATGACACGTGTGTCAGCACTGACACGGGTAGCCATTTTCGATGACACACAGCCGCATGCAGCCGCATACAGAGAAGATGGGGCCGCATCCCATTTCATCCTCGGCTCCTACACCAGCATTTTTCTATAATGCCGAGATATATGGCATTATAGAAAAAGCAAGTAAGTTAAATAATTAGTTTTTGGTTTATTAAATACAGTTATATATTACAATAATATATTTTTGTTATTAAACTATAAATATCATGAAGTTATGTTTTTTTTTCTCAAAGTGACACCCCACCTGAGTTATGCTTGGTTTTTTTGGCAAGTACTGACACACCAAGCTCAAAAGGTTGCCCATCACTGGTCTAGATCTAGGGAAGTAATGCTACCCCTCTATTCCAGGTTAGACCACACCTGGAATATTGTGTCCAGTTCTGGGCACCACAATTCAAGAGAGATATTGACAAGCTGGAATGTGTCCAGAGGAGGGCGACTAAAATGATCAAGGGTCTGGAGAACAAGCCCTGTGAGGAGCGGCTTAAAGAGCTGGGCATGTTTAGCCTGAAGGGAAGGCTGAGAGAAGATATAATAGTCATGTATAAATATGTGAGAGGGAGCTACAGGGAGGAGGGAGCAAGCTTGTTTTCTGCTTCCCTGGAGACTAGGACGCGGAACAATGGCTTCAAACTACGAGAGAGGAGATTCCTTCTGAACATAAGGAAGAACTTCCTGTTTGTGAGAGCTGTTCAGCAGTGGAACTCTCTGCCCCGGAGTGTGGTGGAGGCTCCTTCTTTGGAAGCTTTTAAACAGGGGCTGGATGGCCATCTGTCAGGGGTGATTTGAATGCAATATTCCTGCTTCTTAGCAGGGGGTTGGACTGGATGGCCCATGAGGTCTCTTCCAACTCTTTGATTCTATGATTCTATGATTCGTTGTGCCTGATTGTTTCCCCTCTGTTGTTGTGCTGTTGTAGCGCAGCAGTCTGAGTGTCAGCTGCATTAAGATCACTCTGACCACAGGTCATGAGTTCGAAGCCAGCCTGGGTTGGAGTGGGTTTTCAACCAATTATGTGTAGCCTGTTGTCGACCTTTGCAACCCGAAAGATAGTTGCATCTGTCAAGTAGGACAATAAGGTACCACCTTAAAGTGTGGGGAGGCTAAATTAACTGATTTATGAGGCCATAAAGAAGACTCCAGCAAAGCATTCCAGCGGGGAAGCATGCGGGGAATGCGGAAGTACTTCATCAGCGTCGCAGATGGACGATGAAAGCGACAGCTTCCCTGGCGGCCAGAAAAAGTTAAATAGCCTCTGTGTATGTCTGTGTATGTTTGTATGTCAAAATAGGCATTGAATGTTTGCCATATATGTGTACACTGTAATCCGCCCCGAGTCCCCTGCGTGGTGAGAAGGGCGGAATATAAAAGCTGTAAATAAAATAAATAAGTAAATAAATAAATAAATTTCGAGGTTTTTAATACTGCTAGCCAGATTTTGTTCATTTTCATTGTTTCCTCCTTTCTGTTGAAATTGTCCACATGCTTGTGGATTTCAATGGCTTCTCTGTGTAGTCCGACCATCGTGGTTGTGAGAGTGGTCCAGCATTTCTGTGTTCTCAAATAATATGCTGGGTCCAGGTTGGTTCATCAGGTGCTCTGCTATGGCTGACTTCTCTGGTTGAAGTAGTCTGCAGTGCCTTTCATGTTCCTTGATTCGTGTTTGGGCAATGCTGCGTTTGGTGGTCCCTATGTAGACTTGTCCACAGCTGCATGGAATACGGTAGACTCCTGCAGAAGCGAGAGGATCCCTCTTGTCCTTTGCTGAACGTAGCATTTGTTGGATTTTCAGGGTGGGTCTGTAGATAGTTTGTATGTTGTGTTTCCTCATCATTGTCCTTCTTTAAGGGTCCCTTTCAAATCTATGATACTATATCTGTGTGTGAGAGAGAGAATCATATCTATCTATCTATATTTATGACTGGATGGCTCTTTGTCAGGAGGGCTCTGATTACATTTTCTTGCCCTGGTGAAGAGTTGGACTGGATGGCCTTAAGTATTTTCTGTTGGTCATGGGGTTCTGTGTGGGAAGTTTGCCCCATTTCTGTCATTTGTGGGTTTCAGAATGCTCTTTGATTGTAGGTGAACTATAAATCCCAGTAACTACAAATCCCAAATGTCAAGGTCTACTTCCCCCAAACTCCATCTGTGTTCATATTTGGGCATATGGAATATTGGTGCCAAGTTTGGTCCAGATCCATCATTAAACAAGTCCACAGTGCTCTCTGGATGTACTACAACTCCCAAACTCAAGGTCAATGCCCACCAAACCCTTCTAGTGTGTTCTGTTGGTCATGGAAGTCCTGTATGCCATGTTTGGTTCAATTCCATCATTGGTGGAGTTCAGAATGCTCTTTGATTGTAGGTGAACTATGAATCCCAGCAACTACAACTCCCAAATGTCAAGGTCTATTTCCCTTAAACTCCATCTGTGTTCATATTTGGGCATATGGAATATTCGTGCCAAGTTTGGTCCAGATCCGTCATTGTTTGAGTCCACAGTGCTCTCTGGATGTAGGTGAACTACAACTCCCAAACTCAAGGTCAATGTCCACCAAACCATTCCAGTGTGTTCTGTTGGTCATGGAAGTCCTGTATGCCATGTTTGGTTCAATTCCATCATTGGTGGAGTTCAGAATGCTCTTTGATTGTAGGTGAACTATAAATCCCAGCAACTACAACTCCCAAATGTCAAGGTCTATTTCCAAACTCCATCTGTGTTCATATTTGGGCGTATTGAGTGCTTGTGCCAAGTTTGGTCCAGATCCATCATTGGTTGAGTCCACAGTGCTCTCTGGATGTGGGTGAACTACAATTCCCAAACTCAAGGTCATTGTCCACCAAACCCTTCCAGTTTTTTCTGTTTGTCATAGGAGCCCTGTGTGCTACGTTTGCCCCAATTCCATCATTGGTGGAGTTCAGAATGCTCTTTGATTGTAGGTAAACTATAAATCCCAGCAACGACAATTC